CTTATGTCTTGAAATGATGATCTCAGTAAGTTTAATGAAGATTCATCATCTCATACAAAATTAAAGAAATGAAAAAAATTTTCCCTGCAATGAGAACTCTTAAAAACTTTCATATATAACACTCAGCAGTGTTAATTATATTTATCATGTTGTACATTACATCCCTAGAACTTACTTTTTGATTGCCTTCATCCAGTTTCCTCTCCCCCACCCCTTCCTCTGGTAACCACAAATCTGATCTCTTTTTCCGTGAATTTGTTTGTTTTTGAAGTGTAATTGACCTACAACACTGTGTTAGTTCCTGTTATACAACACATGATTTGATATTTCTGTCATTTCAGAATAATCACCATGATACTCTTAGTTATGATCTGTCATTACACAAAGATATTACATAATTATTGACTAAATTCCCCACACTGTACATTTCATACCTGTGACTCATTTATTTTGCAACTGGAAATTTGTACCTCTTAATCTCCCTTACCTATTTTTCACTCCCTCCATCCCTTCCCCTCTGGCAACCACCTGTTTGTTTTCTATAATTCTTTCTGTTTATGTTTGTTCATTTGTTTTGTGGTTTTTTTCTTAGATTCCACATGTAACTGAAATCATACAGTATTTTTCTTTCTTTGTCTGACTTCACTTAGATTAATACCCTCTAGGTCCATCCATTTGTTACAAATGGCAAGATTTCATTTTTTATGGCTGACTAATATTCCATCATGTGTGTGTGTTTGTGTGTGTGTGTATTATCACATCTTCCTTATCCATTCATCTATTAATGGGCACTTGTGTTGCTTTCATATCTTGGTTATTGTAAATAATGTTGCAATGAACATATGGGTACATATATCTTTTTGAATTAGTATTTTTGTTCTCTTCAAATAAATATCTGAATGGAATTGCTAAATCATAGGGTTCTTCTATTTTTAATCTTTTGAGGAACCGCCATGCTGTTTGCCTTCATGGCTGCGCCAGTTTACATTCTCACCGACTGTGCACATAGGTTCCCTTTTTTCCACATCTTTGCCAACCCTTTTTATTTGTTCTCTTTTTGGTAATAGCCATTCTAATAGGTACAAGGTGATACCTCATTGTGGTTTTGATTTGCATTTCCCTAATGAGTAATGATGTTGAGCACTTTTCATGAGCTATTTGGCTTATGTTTTCTTCTAAACGTTTTGTGGTTTCATATCTTACATTTAAGTCTTTAATTCATTTTAAATTTATTTTTGTGTGTGATGTGAGAGAGTAGTCCAGTTTAATTCTTTTACATATAGCTGTTCGGTTTTCCCAGCACCATTTGGTGAAGAGGCTATCTTCTCCCTTTGTATATTCTTTGATTTTTGCCATTTTAATTACAGTGTGTCTGTATGGTCTTCTTTGGATTGATCCTGTTTGGACTGCCTGTGCTTCCTGGACCTAGATGTCTGATTCCTTTCCCAGGTTAGGGAAGTTTTCAGCTATTTTGTCTTGAAATATGTTCTCTGCCCCTTTCTCTCTCTCTTCTCCTTCTGGAACCCATATAATAAGAATGTTAGTACATGTAATGCTGTTACAGAGGTCTCTTAAACTGGCCTCATTTCTTTTTATCTTTTATTCTTTTTTCTGTCTTCCAGCTTGCTGGTCCTTTCCTCTCTGTCATCTCATCTACAGTTGATTCCGTATAGTGTACTGTTTATTTTAGTTAATATATTCTTTATCTCTGTTTGGTTCTTTTTTATATTTATATTTTCTCTTTGTTAAAAACATCTAACTTCTCGCTCTGTTTATCCATTCTTCTCCCAAGTTCTTTGAGCATCTTTATGATTATTACCTTGAGCTCTTTATCAGATAGATTGCTATCTCCACCTCACTTAGTTCTTCTGGGGTTTTATCTTGTTCTTTTGTTGGAAACATATTCCTCTGTCACCTTATTTTGCCTTATTTGCTGTTTTTATTTCTATGTATTTGGTAGGTTGGTTTCATTTTCCTCCTCTTCCAGGTACAGCAAAGGAGACACTCTCACGAATGAAAGTTTTGTACATTTACCAATGTAAATGTTTCTTGTGAAGGAGCAACTCCTACTTGGTTTTCAGAGTTTTTCCTAATTCTGCTGTTTCTTAGAAAATAACCAGCTTAAAATAATACTCTAAAGGGATACATTTTGGGGTGGCAAATTCTGCTCCCCTGCCTTATAACAGGCTCTGTGTTTTAGAGAAGTTTTAGATTCACAGTAAAATTGAGCCATTTTTTAATACTGATCTGACATCATGGTGGTATTTGTTAAAAGATATGTATTTCTTCCATCAGTTTCAGTGTATATGCAAAATGTATTTTGCAATTATATTTACTTTTTGTGGTTGTTCTAAGTATTAATTACTTGTACTAAATATAATATGTGTCATTTCATCATGAAAGAATTTAGTAAGTAATTTGAAGGGAAATCACAGTGGCTTTTTCTGGTGCACTAATTGAGATGAAACATTTTTCAACCTTTTTCATGTCCTGTGTATAGGATAGTGAGCATCTGCCCTGTGATTTGTTATTCTGTTTATACTGCTTTGCAGACTAAGAACTTTATATATTTTGTGTTTTGGCAGCTTCAAACAGGAAAAAAATTTTTAGGTCTATTTTGAAAAAGCTGCAACAGGAATGTTACATATATACTAGACAAAGATGTGTGTAAGTTGTTGGAGCTTCAAGGAGACAATAGTTTTCTTGCAGAGTATTTATATGCTACTCTATCATTATTTAAAGTGACTTCTGTCGATGAAAAATTAATCAGCCTAGTCTATCTAAGAAACAAATGGAAAATTTTATTCGAGCTAAATTGAGAATTATAACTCCAGGTACAGCCTCTCAGAAAGCTCTGAGAACTCGTCTGCCAATTAGAAGTCAAAGCACAGTTATATAAGTTTTTTGACATAGGAGGCTGTACAGTAAATGATGTATTATTGACAGTTTACACAATCCAGATCTATAAGTACAAAGTGGTGGGTCGTGTGACCCCCTTACAAGAGCAAGAAGGAATGTTGTCTTTTAAGCAGTTGTCTTACTGGTTTAGGAGGTGTTGCTTCTTATTGTTGAGCAGATATTTCTGCCCACGGGGGAGGTTTGGCCGATGCATAATGCAGACACACAGTGCACAGCAGAGGGGAGAGAGGAGGCCAAAGGGCAGAGAAAAACTTATGTTTTAATTTTTCTTATGTTGCCATAAAATGTGAATTTTATCTCACACTTCCGTCATAATTGATGCATTAATTATGACTGAACCATACTACTTCTAAATTCTAAAGTATGGCATGTATAATATAGTTAGCATGCACATATTGAAGAAAAGCATAGAAAAAACACTACAGTAATAAATTTCTCATTTTAAAATGAAGATTCACCATGCTTCATTTTTCTCCACTATTAAAACCGGATAGTCTTTCAGTGGTTACTTTTTGCCCTTGGGAGGAAGTGTAGACGTCATTTTATGCTGGGCTATTATAAAAAGAATCCAAGACAACAGACGTTGCACTTTAAATTTCAGTAGAATTATGTGCTTTATATCAGCATTATGAAAATTTAAAATTTGGTATGTCTTGCACTTTCAGAAAGTTCTTTTTAATAGTTAATTGAATTGCATATTAATATTATATAAATTAAGGAAAGAATCTCACAGTGTCTATATTTTAGTATACCCTGTTGTCTAAGGCCTAGATGATACTAGTTAATTACTTGGCTTTGGAGTTCACTATTAATATTTTAGGAATGTATTTGCTTTAGTTTTGGTGGAAGGAAGTGTCTGATATACTTTTTCAACTTTATTATGGAAAACTTTAAACATTCACAAAGTAGAGAGTCGTGCATTGAGTCCTCACATATTCATCTCCTGTCCTCACTGGTTTAATATAAAGGGTCTCCTTGTTTTATCTGCACACTCCCTACCATCCCTTTCCTCCTGACCCCCCAGTGATTTTGAAGGAAATCCCAGACATCATGTAATTTCACTGAGAAATATTTCGGTGTGTATCTCTAAAAGAGAATCAAATTATCTGTATTCCCAGGGAGAACTAGCTGGCTTTGTTGTGGAGAGGAAGTTGAAGAGTGCTTGGAAACAGGCCTGCCCCTGCGTTTTATTGTAGTTAATTTCCATTCAGAAAGATCCAGAGTTTATACTACTTTATTATTACAGTAAATCTCAAAAGATTTCAAATGTTGATTTTGTAAATAACATCTCAGAAAACATGAATTACCATCATGAAAATGTATGAAGTTATGTGACAGTCCTTATTTCAGAGCTAACCTACAATTTGCTTTGTCATTTTTTTCATGGCTTCTCCCCCCTCCAAAATTTGTTCCTTTATTTAAATACCATGAAACAGTCAGCAGGTTAATACTTAGTTTCAGATAAAATTTATAAAACTCTGTTTCAGAGAAAGAGCAGAGAGAAAAAATACGCATATGGGGCTGAAAAAAAGAGGAAGGGCAGAACAGGGTAAACATCATAGGCTGGGTACCAAATTATGGGGAGGGAACTCCTTTCATCCACCCTCACTCATCCAACCTCCTTTCTTGGTCTTGACTTTAATTTCTCTCCTTCTTGGTTTCTCCTTTGATTTGCACATTTTTCTTCTCTTGGCATGTACGTAACTTTGCCTGTGGCATTTATGATCAGGAGGATTGCTGATTCCTCTCTTGGAGAAGGTTTTATTATATAGGGGTTGTGAGATAAAATTTTAAAGAACAAAATATTTTAAGACTAGTTTTGTTGTGCTTTATCTGTTTTTGTACAGAGTTTTAAAAATGTTTCTTTAAGTTAATTCAAATAGTTGGGTACCTACTATGGGCTAGATTGAACTTTTCTATATTTTGTGAATGAATTATACAGTGTAAGACATTATATACAGACATTTAGGTTTACTCTATGTGCTCCTTTTGAAAAATTTTGTAATAATTTTTCATTTTTTGTTCTCTTTTGCTGCTCTTTTATTGGATGAAACTGATTCTATTCAAATGTGATTCTGCAGTTCACCAGATTCCTTTGCAACTCACCTTTGGAGGTAAGCGTTTACCCACTGACCTTAATACTAGAAGTGCTAGTTGAACATCATTCTTGGTATCTTTTGTGAAGCATTCATTTGATAATTTGAGTGATCTTTTTTGTCATGATACATTCTTCAATACCAGTAATGAGATGAATGCAGACTTTGTTTTATAAGAACGCCTATAAGTTACAAAGCTATCAACCTTCATAACAGGTTGTTGCCTCTTTTTAAGTACATTTTCTTTCTAATTGGTAGAGTGAAATCATTCCATTTTGAAGAGCCTTATGGTACTGCCTTACTCCCACGACTGTCTCACCCTGGGCTTATCCTCTGTGAACTGCCCTGGTGTGGAAGGAGAGCCGGAGAGGTCTGGGCAGAGGCTGTCTCAGGGAGGTTTCAGTTGATTTGAGAGCGCTTTTTAAAATCCATGAATTAATTAGCGAAGAGCAAAGGATTTACCTTTAATTGAGCTTCACTGTAACACAGGCACTATCCTAGGTGCCCAGTTCACTTTCTCACCTAATCCTCGTTAATGATAACCCGAGAACCAGATGTCAGTGTGAGCTGTGGCTGATAAGGAATTACTTGGAGAAGATGGGCGAGACTTTGGGAAAGGAATGGGAAAGAGGAGGCATCCGGGTGTGTAGAGGGACATTGATACTACTTTTGCCTATATTAAGACATAAAAGCAGAATGCAAAATTATACATGCAAATCTCAATTTAAAAACAATTTAAGCATACAGAAATTAGTTAGGAAGGAGATAAACAAGATGTTAACGTTAACTACAAAATGTTTTACCTCTTGCTCTTCCCATGAAGAAGTCACATGGGGGAGAATGGGATACCTTGGTAGGTTTTAAATGATGGCTCTTGTAGTCAGTGTTTGATTGAGATGAACGTGAGGGAACTCTCTGATTGAAGTGGAAACAGGGTCTTGTCTTGGAAGAAAAGGGACTGGTAGGAGCTTAGATGAAGAGATAATGTTGATAATGCTTAAGGCTGGCCTCTAATTTAAGTAAGAGCTGAGGGGAGTTACCAGAAATAGGAGTTTTGAGCAGACGGCAGTAAGGCTGGGCTAGCTTACCTGCACAGGTATAAATACGGAGGCCGGAGCTTGATGTGCATGTCACTGGGGCAGAGTAGCGGTTTGAAGATGTTACGAACAATGGCAAAGATGCTTTTAAGTAGACCTCACTGATACACTTTCCCCAGATGTAAGCTCAGAGAGGACCGTGTTTTTCTTGCTTCCTTATGTTTCCATGTATAGTTAATACTACACAGGAGGCACTGAATAAGTATTTGTTGAAAGAATAAATAAGTAATCTAGGTACAGTACAGTTGAGGCTAAGAGTAGTATGCTTTTTTCTGTAATTTGACAGGATGCAGCTGAAAGCACACAAGGTCTAATATTTCTGTTTCAATGTGGTTAATAGTCTGTTTTCTTAGCTAGATTGTAGCTACTTAAGATCAGTGTCTTTGTCTTTTTCCAAAGGATGCTCTCAGGTATAAATAGGACTTGGAATGGTGCCAACTGTACACCTAGAGTTGTACCAAACATGTTTTTAAATTACATCCTATTATTCAAGTTAAATATTGGGGATCTTTGTGTAGAAGCTTTAATCTTTGGTGAAAAGTAGATGGGAAAGTATCATGATCAAAGTTTAGTGATAGTTCCTGCATTTCCTGTCTGATCCGCTTTCTCCATTTAATGATCTGGAGCTGTATTTTACCTCGGCTAAACTGATCTTTTTCCTTTCTGGACTTGTGGACATGGAGGAGGAAAAAGAAAATAATAGATGACTAATGTGCTTTTCTTCTCTTGAAGTATTTGGGAAATACTTTGAGGGCATTCTGTTGATATGTTTCTAGCCTGGAATTTCACAGGGGCCATTGGATGGCATGGTTGGTGCTGCTACCCCCAGATCTCCAGCAGCACTGAGCTCAGGATTCTGCTCCTTTGCTACCGCACAGAACCTGAGATCCAAAGCAAAGCAAAGCAAAGGCAGGAGAATGTTGAGAGAGTCTCTAAACGTTTAAAATGTGCTATTAAGCTTATGCTTCAGCTGGAGAAGGAAAATTGCAAACATGGTAAGTACCCAGATACCTTACCTAAGTTTGAATACAAGAAAAATAATTCAGGTAGAGACAATAAAATACATGAGGTTTGCAGTTGAATATGAAGGTGACTTTAAGTTTCATTCTGTCCGCAAAAACTACTGTGAATGACCCATGTCCCTTTGTTGTAAGTCCTAAACAGTTAACTGCCACTGGGATCTAACGAAATTGTCAGGTTATAGTAATTACATCAGTAATTTGATCTGCTGTCATTTGAATGGAGCCATGTGTGGAGAGTCAGTTACTTCCCTCTGTGGGGCTGACCCTTTTACATTCCTGTGAGCTGAAGACTAATAGAGCTCATTAAGCTTTATAGGAAAAGAGCTTTTATCACCTCGTCAAGTCAGGCCACATACTTCCATTATATTCCTAATTTCGTGTGGCTCTGTAGCTGGTGATGTGCGTTCCCCTGCTAGGTTTACATCGGATCTCTCCCTTACAGACATTTTTATTGACATTTCTAAGCCTGAATTACATTTTGTGTGGCACCACATACAGATGTCTTCAATTAAATGTAGGTAAATAAAAGGGATTATGTATCAGAGGCTAAAAGATTCTTGAAATTCTCTTCTAAGTCTGAGTTTGCCAGCCAGTCCAGTAGGGTGCAGTCTTATCATCATTTTGGAGGTAGAGAACCAGGGAAGAGGCATTTGTGAGAAAAGTTAAATCATTTGGGAATGTGGGTCACTTAGGATTCTCTTCAAGGATGTCCTAGTCCTTCATTCCAGGTCAATTGGAATCTTTTTCATTAGCAGTTACCAGTTTTTCGAGAAGTTACACCTGTAGTATATGGGAGTACTATGCTTATATGCTTATATTATTTTAATTTTCACAGGATGTCTATGAGGTAATTATTTCTAGTTTCTTTATGAAGAAAATTGAGCCCTAGAGAGGTAGTTTGGTTGAGTTCAATATTGCAGCTACTAGTATATGACAGCAATAAGCTTTGAGAGTCTAACATTACGTGAAATGATGACAGTACTTTTTGAAGGAAGACAGTGGTACGTTTCAGGTGTGCCAGCCTTGGCACTGTTGCCATTTTGGGTTGGATAAGTCTTTTTTTGTGGGCGCCGTCTTGTGTGTTGTGTGATTCTTAGGAACATCTCTGGCCTCTACCCAACAGATGCTAGTAGCATCTTACCCATGAGTTGAAGCAAAATGTCTCCAGACTTTGCCAAATATCCCAGTTAAAAACTACTGCCCTAGAGCAGCCTTAACAAAAAAGAGCAGAGAGAGAGTTAATAATCCAATGGTGTTGACAGTAGCAATGATAACATGTTTTCAGGCTCACAAAAGGTGGAAAAAAGGAAAGGTTGTTCACAAAGGACAGGTGAGACAAATAGAAAACAGAGCAAAATGGTCCACTTAAACTCAGCCATGTCAATTAGTACATTAATTATAAGTGATCTAAAATCTGCTATATGGAAATGTTTTATATCTATTCTGTCAAAAACATGTATGTATCCACTGGTCATACACAGCCACTGAACTCTTCAGGAACTGAATTGAAAAACTTTTAAATTTTAATTAACTTATGTAGCCATGTGTGACCAGTGGCTATCCTGTTGGATATAGTACAGGTCTAAACACTCCAAATGAAAGTCAGAGATTGTCAGACTAGATAAAAGAAAAAAAGCACAATCTACCTTAAATATGAAGATATGAATATGTTTAAAGTAAAAGGCCAGAGTAAACTATACCAAGTGAATACTAATAAGAAAGTGGAGTGACTATTCATAGCTAACAAAATAGACTTCAGGGCAAAGACTTTTAACAGAAGGGAAGATGGACATTTCATAATGATAACATGGTCAGTTCATCAAATGAAGACACAGTAATCTGAAATGTTATTCACTTAATAACAGAACCTCAGAATACATGAAACGAAACCTAATGGAACTGAAAGGAGAAATAGTCAAATCCACAGCTATAGTTGGAGACTTTAGGACAACTTTCTCGGTAATTGATAGAACAATTAGACAGAAAATCACAAGGAATATAGAAGATTTGAACAAAACTATCACACAGCTCTACTTAGTTGGTATCTATTGAACACTGTACCCAACAATGAAAAAATACATATTTTTTCAAGTACACAGGGAATGTTCCCTAAGATAGATCATGTGCTGTACCATTATGCAAATCTCAGTAAACTGAAAAAGATTGAAATAATCTCTGTTCAAAATGGAATTTAATTAGAATCAATTAACATAAGGAACTCTCATAGCTTAGTAATAAGACAACCTAGTTTAAAAACTGGATAAAAGATTTGATTATATATTTCACCATGAAGACACAAAAATGGTTAATAAGCACAAGATGCTTGCCATTCATTAGGGAAATGCAAATTAAAACCACAATGAGATATCAATATAAACCCACTAGAATGGCTATAATCAAGACAGTAAGTGTTGGTGAAATATGGAGAAATTGGAACCCTCATATGTTGCTGGTGGGAATGTTAAATAGCATAGCCACATTTTGGCAGTTCCTCAGAATATTAAATATGTATGACCCTGCAACTTCACTCCTAAGTGAAATGAAAATATACGTCCAAACAAAGACTTGTATGTGAACTCTCATGGTAACATTATTCATGATGGCCCAAAGCTGGAAACAGTTCATATGTCCGTCGGCTGGTGAACGGATAAGCAAAATATGGTATTACCATACTAATACTATTCAGCAATAAAAAGTACTTTAGATGACTCTGGTAGATATCAAGAAGTCACCAGTGGCCAGAATTGGGAAGAGGGAATGGCTGTTACCTAAACTGGGTCCTGTAGAAATGACGGGAGCTTGCAGAGGTAGCAGTGGAGGGGTAAGGTACGTATAAGGTTGAGTTGCTAAACTTGGATACCTTTTTGCCAAGTCAGTCTTCCTTTAGCAAGTAGTGGTG